AAAAAACAATATTGATATAGCCGTACTTACCAACGGAATTGACAATGTAAAAAAGACCTTGCAAAACTCCTACAAAACCAGTTGGTGATCTCCAATAAACTACTATTGAAAAAAACCATTGGTAATCACCAACGAACATTCTATAGAAAAAAAGTGTTGGTGATCTCCAACGGACCTTCTATGGATAAAGGCCTTGGTGATGTCCAATGAAATTACTAACGGAAATTTTTCATTGATAATTTATCAACGGACCAATGCAATGGTAATGCCGTTACAAATAACATATTTTACGGCCGTTGGTAATCAGCAACGAAATACATGTCGTCACTATTCCGTTGATATATTTCCAACGAACCCTCTGGCCGTTGGTAAATTACTGACGGTGGTTTTACCAACGGATTTTACCAACGACATTTTGCCGTTAGAAAACCCATTTACCAACGAAAATCTGGGCTTCACCAACGGAAATTTCCGTTGGTGATGGCACACATTCTTGTAGTGGATGAAACTTGAAATCTGAACTATTAACAGGAAAAATGAAAACTAAAATAGATCAGCAACTAAAGATTGTTATAAAAACATACAGCGTGATAGCTTGTGTTTAAACTAGATTCATATGTTGTAATCAGTTCAGGAAGGAGAAAAAAAAAGTTCAGAAAAAAAAAAAGTTTGTAAACAAAAAAGGGGAAAACACATAGCTTCTACAGCTACAAAAAAATCATCTCATATTTCCATTCATGGCGAAGATTCTTGTAAATTTCTGACAACCTTGTACAAAATCAAATCCCATGAAGCAAAGGGGCTTCTTCATTTTCACTTTCTCCGGGGAGTTTTTTCTCCATTACAGGGCCAGCGATTATTGCCAAAGTTATATATTTATACTCTCCTTCTTCCCGATGGAGCTGCATTTCCATCAAATAGTTCGTCGATATTCGTTTCTATATCTTCCGGCTGGTACTTTACGTACTTCTGCGTTTGTCGCCCTGGAGTAAAAATAGAACTGAACCGGCCTAAAAACGACCGATAGGCCGGAATTACCATGTTCGATATCGAAACCCTAAGCTCGGATTGAAGCTGCTCATCGCTCACAACCCAAGAACTCTGTGTTTTGTGAATTTCATCGAACATTTTATTGAAAATGTTGAATTTCTCCTTCAGAACTGGCTTCACTACCTTCCCATTAGCATTCAATCCTTCAGGATGTAAACAACTCAATAATTTTCCCCACGTTTCTCTCTGATAACATTTGTGATATTGCCTGAGGTCTGATGATTTTTTCCGGTACCACGTGTCTCCCATCAGGCTGTTGATTTCGGTTGATCCTTTGATCTTCTGCAATATGTACCGTCCATTGTTCATCATGAAAATCGAGCTCAATGAAATGTCCTTGTAAAGTTTTGATTTAGCATCAAGATTTCCATCCAATAAATCCATCACCTTCATCATCTGCAGTTGGAATGGGGATTGTTTTGCTGTCTGATCATTGTTAGCATTCTTGACTTGGGATTCTGGATTGTATTCGAATTCAGATCCTGTCGCGGACTCGACTCTATCAATCTTCTGATGTTCTCGAAAAACTTGCTCTAGTGAATCCTTGTACTCGCATGCATATTTAAGATAATTCATGGTGTAACGAGTCAATGGATGAACTGCGCCACCTGGAACCGGCGTCTTACCTGAGTCAGCCTTAATCGAGTTTTCGAGTTCACCAAAAATGGAAATCATGGACTCTGCAAACCAGCTCCGAATCAACGATGTCTCCGTTTTAAGCTCATCCACAATCTCCACTGACAATAAACTCTCCAATGTCGGAAGAACATCCCTCAAAACCTCGTAAATATCAAGAAACTTGAACAGTTTTTCAGCAGCACGTTTCGTCATTGCAACGGCCTTGGAGAAAGTCAGGAGCTGAATCACCATGTTTCGTGACAGGCTGCTAACCAGGCTCTCCGATATCAATGGATAGTCCGAGAAAATGGCATCGGAGAGTTTCCTCTCACTCGGAAAATGCACTGCGGCGTATTGCCGGAAAATCTTGAGCCAGGCCACGATCTCTCTCTCCAATGATTCCCAGTGCATTTTCTGCACATCATCAATGCTATGTTTTTCAAATCCGTGCTTATGCAAACTTTCCTCCAATGCATTTCTTCTTGCTACAAAATACACCAAACGACATTCGGTTTCGTATCCTCCTACAATCATTGCCGTGGATAATCTAATCAAGTTTGATAAATTTTCTTCCGAGTATGCTGGAGAATTAGTTTCCTCTACAGGGCCAGGTTCTGGTGCGTCTTGATTAGGGTTTAATGATGTAGATTGCCTGGGCTTTGAATCATTATTATTATGATCCGAAGCGGACAATTTATGATCTTCAAGGAGTGATTTGAATTCTTCCTCAAAGTACGACATTGCACGTTGGAGAACTCCACCAATTCGATTAACGGTATAACCATATTTATATTCTGAAGAGAATTCAGAAAGTGCAGTTGATAACCTGAAAATCCGATTGACTGAATCCAGAAATGAAATTGAATCTTGTTCAGAAAGTTTACTCCATTTCACTGGAGTATCACCAGAATCATAGTCTTTGATCTTGGCTTCAACAAGAATGGCAAATTGTTCGACAAAAATAGGCACATCGGGGGGATTGGAATGATCTCGTTTCGAGCTTGAAAAATTGGAGATATATTGATCAATTTCTTCCGAGACTTTATTCAGATCAGGAGGCGAAGGAGAAGAGTCTGGAATCTTTACTTCACATGAATCTTCTCCCTCTTTGATGTCCATCTCAGAGTCCACAGCTGCAACATTGTCTTGTTTGGCTTCAGCATCACCATCAGGTGGCGGCTGTGCAGCTTCAGCGGAGGTGATTTCATCTTTCTGATCCGAATCAGGCTGGTGCCCCTCATGTTTTCCATCATTTTCATTGTTTCTAGACACAGAACTCTGGGATTTTTCAGGGATATGGGATTTCTCTCTCTCTGTGTCCATGAAATTTTATTTGTTTGTATATATTTGATTCTTGACAAAAAATGGCATGAAGAAATGAATTAAGGAAAGGTAGGGAAAATAAGTGATGGGAATATGGGAAACATGCAAAAGGACGGTAATGTAGAATTATCCGTTTTAGTAATTTATTTTTCTTCTGTTGGAGCTTTTTTCGAGGGTTTTTCTTTGACAAGTAGAAATGGTCCTAACGATTATTGGTTTAGAGAGGGGGAGAGAGAGGTAGTACACAAAGAGTGGAATTTTCTTGGCTGGGAGAAGAGTCCGTCGATCTGTTAAATCACTTTTTAAAAAATGGATACGAAAATGATAGAATTTACTACTTTCTTGTATAAATTAGAAAAAATAGTTGACTACAATTGGTTATCATTGTTTGATAATAAGAAATGACTATATAGTGGCACCCATGTTCAATGAACCCGGTCCTGGCCAAGTATCTTTATCCATGTTGCATACTGATTGCCACGTCTTGCCATTCTATAAAGACCTAAGATGTTACAAATAGTTACTATCGATACAATAACAGCCTGTACCATTGGAATGCTAATAACTACTAAACATTTGCTATTTCATTATATTATCATTAGCATTTAGCCCAACCAAATCTAATGATCAATTTCTTCCATAAGCAACTCAAAGAAACTTATCCCAACTCCATGTAGTCAAATATGTTAAAATAAAAAAACAATAAGTTACAAACATCTACAATGCACAATACCTAATTATGTATGCATGCCAGACTACTCTTAGAGAACTTAATGAACTCCGAATGGGAAAAGGAGAATAAAGCTCCATAAATCTCTTAACACTGCCCTTGTTAACAAGAATTTCACCTGTCAGGCAACAAATCGACCAGAGGATCAGTTCTACTGGCGGGTGACAGGTGTGGGCCCATACAAACCACCTTCAGTTGGATACATTTGGTAAGCACTCGAAGGATGAACCCCCAAGGGAGAAACCCCATTCATAGGAGGCCCAACTGGAGGATAACCAGGTAGGGGTGCCCGGTGCTGGCTGGTGTTATAGCCATATGGTACATTAGGGACCAGGCCAGCAGTTGGCATATATTGGGGAATAGGATATGGCTGCATAGGTGGTAGTGGTGGTAACGGAGGTGGGTGTTGGGAAATTTCACACCAATT